ATAATTTTCATATTAAATCTTCTAAAAATCTGTGAAACTACAGAAGTTAGTTTGGCCCACGTGCTAAGTCAATATCAAGACAAAAAACACTACAAAAATCAATGCTGCACCTCTGCATTTCTCTATAAAATGTGATATTTTATTTTTTCCTAAAAGACACTTTCAATGTTATTAAACTTTTATAAAATAAAAAACACAGCTATACAAGTTTATTTAGTATAGTAAATACTAGATAAAAGGGTGAGAATCAAATGAAGCTTTTACCCAAAAAAGAGCTTTCACACTATTATATACTAAAAGAATTTATGTAAGTCTGAAGATTCTCCTGTTTCTTCACTGGTCCCTAAACAGATATTATTAAATGTGTAATTAAAAATACATATATTTGGATGTTATTATGAACTAGATGACTTTAAAAGAAGTATGTCCCATCCACAATCATCAGTTCATATTTTTAAAAATACCTTATAAAAATGATAAAGTGGTACATCAAATATTTCAGTAATAAATGGAAAATTCCCCGGAGGCTTATAAGAAAAAGTGATGACTTCAAGACAGCAAGCCAAAAGTGATCTATGGAATGCATCTTGTTCCAGAATACCCTATAAAACAAAGTTAGCAACATTTAGAAACATTAGTCTACTATTTTTTGTTTTTTCATAACCAATCAGTTAAATAAAAAAAAGACTTGGTTTCTGAGTTAGTGATAACATGTGCTTGCTTTAACACTTTTAATTTTTTAAGCTCATTCTTTATCAAAAATATAAATTAATGTGAGATTCTTTAAAATATTTAATGTTTTAAAATATATTTCAAAGTACATCCAATAGAAGATTATATCCCTAGCCAAAATACACACACCCTCATGCACAGAATACTGATGTGTAAAGATGTTATAAAACAAATTTTACAGTAACAGGACACTGTTATAAAAAGGCAAGTATGCAGGTGACTGGCTATGTGACCATGTACCAAAGTCATTATGTTTATTACAGGGTAACATAATCACAGATGATTTTTACTTTCTCCTTTTTGTTTATTAATTTTCCATATAAACATTTATTATTTATGAATTTAAAACTTACCGAGGCATGAAGAGTACAGGCAACAAAAGAAAAAATTAGACTTCATCAAAATTAAAAAGTTGTCCATTAAGACTATCAGAGTGAAAAAAAATCACAGAATGGGAGAAAATATTTGCAAATCATATATCTGATAAAAGATTAATATCCAAAATTAATTTTAAAAACTCCTACAATTTGACAACAAATAAGTAATCAAACCAATTCACAAATGTACAAAAGATCTGAGTAGATGTTTTTCCAAAAATAATACACAAAGGGCCAACAGGAACAGGGGAAAATACTCAACATCACTGGTAATTAAGGAAATACATATCAAAAAACACTATGAGATACCACCTCATACTCATGGGTTTCTTTTTTTCTTTTCTTTCTTTCTCTTTTTTTTTGAGACAAGGTATTTTTATGTAGTCCAGGCTGGCCTTGAACTCACTATGTATCACAGGCTGGCCTCGAACTCATAGCAATCCTCCTGCCTCAGTCTCCCAAGTGCTGGGATTACAGGTGTGCACCTGGCTAAAATAGATATTATTTTTAAAATGGAAAATAACAAATGATTTGCAGATATAAGAAAAGTGAAGCTCTTATGTACTATTGGTGGGAATTAAAATGTTACAACTGCTATGGAAAACAGCATGGCAGTTCCTCAAAAAATTAGATATAAAATTACCATATGGGGCTGAGCTTGCCCTCAGAGCACTTGCCTACTAAGCATGAAGCTCTAGGTTCAATCTCTGGCACAGAAAAAAAAAAATTACCTTATGATCTAGCAATTCTACTTCTAGGTATAAGACCTCAAAAGAACTGAAAACAGGAATTCAAATACTTGTACAGTAATATTCACAGAAGCTATATTCATAGTAGCCAAAAGGTACAAACAATTCAAATGTTCTTCAGCAGTGGAACAGGTAAACAAAATGTTTAAACAAAAGGAAAGTACCTGTGATACATACTACAAAGAGGATGAACCCCAAAATATGATATAAACCAGACACAAAAGGATGAATATTTTATTACTCTACTTATATGAGATACCCAGAATAGGTAAATTCATCTAAAAAAAAAATAGCTGGTAGACACACAAAGTAGACATAGAGGTTACCAGGGACTGGAGGGGAGGGGGAGCCGGGAGTTAGGGTTTAATGGGCTCAGACTCAGCTTGGGAAGGTTGAAAAAGTTCTGGAGATGGAGGCTGGTGATGGTTACACATGTTGTTAATGTACTTAATGCTACCTAGTTATAAATTTAAGGATGGCAAAAATGCTGTTTTGTTAAGCATATTTACCACAGGAAAAGGGGGGAGAGGGATTTTTAAACAAGTAAATTACTTGGAAGGATATATAGGAATACACTTAACATTAGCTTCCAAACTGTAGCTATGTTTTATGTATCCGTCTTTCTTTCACAAAAAAATAAGTCATAAAACAACCCTTTAAATTCATATAGCCACATATATATACATATATATGAATATAGAACATTAAGGAATTAGAATAATTATTGGTCAATTTTACAATTTTTTCCAAAATGTTATCTTAGAAATAATTTTTAATTTTTTACAATTTCATTTTCAATTATAATGTAATATTAGTACATAAATATATTTCCACACATGTATCAAATTGCACATGTTTTATGTTCCTGGCCTGAATTCACAAATTGATCTCTTCCAGTTTTCACTGGAGTTTCATCTTCATAGAATAGTCATTTTTTAAATGTTTTTTAATTAACACATAAAAATTGTAAACAATTATAGAAAAACTTTAAAATATTTATTGATATTATCAAAACTAAGTGTCATTTATAGAAAAATCTATTTATACTTCTTGACTAATAATATCTACAAAGGGCCGGGGATTTAGCTCAGTGGTTCTGCCAACTGCTGCTCAAGCGCAAGGACCAGAGTTTGATCGCTGGTACCAAAATAATAATAATAATAATAATAATAATAATAATAATAATAATAATATCATCTAGGAAAAATAATTATCTTAGCCAAAGAAGAACAGTTGAATATTTATGTCAACACTCCATCTGGTCAATACTCAATTATTTTTTCATATAAGACCTAAATAAAACCTCTATGATATTTAACAACTCAATTAGGTAAAGTGTGAGTGTTTTTATCATTGACTATAGAGTCTCCCTGCCCCAGACACTCTAAGTTATAATACATGGCCTGCTACAGTGAGAAGCTCTGAGCAGGGGTGGAAGGTAAGAAGGCTCAGAAGGTGAGCTACATTAGGTGCCAGACTTATTCCCTAAAGCCACACAGGATTTGTTCCTCACGGGGCAGGGGGTGTGGCTGTGTTTTATTGTGTTGATCAACAGATTATTTTACTCACAGACAAATCTGTGGCTCCCAGTCTCCTTTGTTCCTGCTCGATAATAGACTCTAATACTTTATAGTAAAGTATCTCTGCAAAACGAAAGTGTTTGCTGGCAATTTCTGTAGAAACAATGAAACAACACAAAAATCAAATACAAAGAAAATAAACATTGTGGAAAATGAAGGCCCACTGCTCCATCTCTACCCACAAAGTAAAACTTAAAAGCCAAGCACAGACTTCAGATATATATTCTTCCTACAATTGCAGTTTCAATTATCCCTTAGATTCCTTAATATTCTTCATGGTAATATTCACTTTTTTCTAAAATTATGAAACTTGCATTGTGCAAGCGCAAGGACCCGAGTTCGATCCCCGGTACCAAAGAAAAAAAGAAGAAACTTGCATATAAAGAACTGTAATATCATTCTACTAAGAGTCAAAACCTTTTTTCCCTGTATTTGAACAAAATCGCTCTACACTTCTATACTGGATGCTACATGTCCCTCAAAGGGCCAAGTGTTAAGGCTTGGTCCCCGGGAGGTAAAGTCAGTAGAGGTTTGCCCTTGATGGGGACTGCGGGACCCTGGATCTTGGCTTCCTGACCCATGATGTAAGTTTGCTCCACCACACATTCCCACCATTGATTGCCATCTGTACTCCCACCAGAAGCCCAACACAATGGAGCTACTCTATCATGCACTGGAACCTCTACAACAATAAACTAAATAAACCTCTTCTATGTTAATCATTTCAATGATTTTCTTATTGTAATGGGAAAGTGACTAATACACGTGCTGAGATATGCCATTGGTTTACTATTACATACATACTTAGTTCCAATCCATAACATCAGACAATTCCCAAGCCAGATTTGGTCACGTACCAGCTACAGGGGGAGCATCCCTAGTGTGGAAATCCAAAATTCAAAATGTTCCAAACTCTGAAACTTTTTGAGCACCAGCATAATGCCACAAATTGAAAATTCCACACTTGACCTCAGACGATGGGTCATAGTTAAAATGCTAAAAGTATTATATAGGACTGGGTGTGTAGTTCAGTAGTAGAGCACATATCTAGTATATGTAAGGTCTTGGGTTCCACCTCGAGCACCACAATAAATAAATAAATGAAAATATTGTGTAAAATTACTAAATGAATTTTTTATTTAGATTTGGGTACTATTTCCAAAATATTTCATTGTCTTAATGCAATATTTCAAAATCCAAAAACATCTAAAATTTGTAACACTTTTGGTCCCAACTATTTCAGATAAGGAACACTTAAACTGTGTATCTCCTGTCCTTGTTCTTACTATGTTGAAGAAGCACTATACTTCTATTTAATTTTCAGTTTACAAGTGAAAACTGAAGAATTTAAAAGTACAAAAGTACCAGAAGGCCAACACAATAAAGATATTAGTCTAAAATTTCTTTCCAAGGGCCCAGAAATTACTTGTGTGAGAGAAGAAAATGGACAGCTATACTCTAGCTTTCAGTCTAAAATCATAAATCTTTTCCCCATGTTTCCGATTCAGTTACCAAGAAAGGACTCCATGTAATTAAACATCAAAGGTGAGAGCAGAATAGACAACATTAAACCTTACCTTTAGCACAATTATTGAATTCTTCATCTGGCTGGGAATGCTGGGAATATATTTCATACATTTCTTTCAATCTGTTAGCAATAGCCTGGGATGGATCTCTGGAACATGTCCTCAAAAGTAATAAATTATCTAATGTAAAAGTCTTGTCAAGTCACAAATTGATACAATGTTCACACCCCTATAATTCCATTAACATGCAAGAATAAAATACTTTAAACAGATAATATATACTTCCCAAATATTCCAGGAGATGCCACATACTTCCCACAGTAATCCAGGAGGTCCCATATTTCCTTTTCAAAGGTGATAATTACTATTTTGAGTGAAGAAAAATATTTCTTGTTTGGGTAGTAAGTTTAGCAGCCTTAGCTTTAGCTTGGCCCATGTGATGCTGTAACTGGCCTCCACTCATCTTATATATTCCCAGCACTGACGAGTACTAAAATTACCCTCAACTGCTTCCCTAATAGAGCAGTAAAATGCCCAATAAGAACTACCAGAAGAAATAAAATAAAGAGGTGTATAACTTATGCTATATAACTTATATAACTTAGACTCACATAAACTGTTACTAGCATCTTTTATTGTTTTTGTTTTGGCATTTCCCCCCTCAAATGAGGTATATTTCATTGATTTTTTTTTAAATTAGAAAGCAGTACATGTTCAATACAAAAGTATTATACAAATTATGACCACGTGGGCTTTTGTTAATAACTATGTTTTCATTTTTATAATAAATATACAAATTCAGTGTAAAAATGTAAAAAGTTTAGAAAATTGAGGGAAGGAGGGAGTGAACTAAAAATTAAGATGTCTTAGGTACATGTACCAACTCTTCATGATGTAATCATTATGTAGTGCAAACATGTACTAATAAAAATTTAAAATTTTTTTTTTTTTTTTTCGGTACCAGAGATCGAACTCGGGTCCTTGCGCTTATGCAGCAGGTGACAAAACCACTGAGCTAAATCCCTGGCCCAAAAAGTTAAAATTTTTTAAAAACAAATTATAAAGAAAATTAAAATCATTATACTCCTACTAGAGAGAATTACTGAATATAACACAGGCAAGATTTTTTTTATGAAAACATGCACCTTTTTTAAAAACAAGACCTTTTGGTTTTACCTACTATTGCATTCATTTGTAATATTTAACCTCACTAATGGTATTTAAGATTAAAGTTATTATTCTTGGAAAACCAAGGCATGGTGGGGCAGGGGGAGAGGAGATGAAGGGGGATGTAAGTAAATTTCCAATATGTTATGTACATGTACCAAATCTTCAGGACAAATGTAATCACTGTGTACTGCAAATATGTACTAATTAAAATAATAATTTTTTAAATCAGGCTTGGTTAGAGATTATAAAGAGAACTGAAAGATATCTAGAGCTTAGGCTTAAAAATATATTTATAAAATACTTCTAAATTCAAGGCAAATGTGGCCCACCTGAAAAATATGACTTAAAAAGAGACCATATATACAACATACCTGGTTGAGTGTTACATACAATCAAATTTATGACTAAAGTAGACTTCATGGAAATGAAAAGGAAAAGTAGTCATCCTTGAAATTCCATGAGCCTAGCTATAAGGGAGAAACTACTGAAATGGATATGGGTCTTCTTGATTCCATACTACCAGAAATAAACTGGGGATGCACAAGGTTTATGTTATCAAATCCTAGAGTTTTAGGAAGAGTCTTTGAGTCAGTTTTTTAAAATCTACACAAAATTATACACAAGTCTACTGTGCTTGTCACTAAAACACACTGATGTTCCTACCAGTCTCAGGCAGATCAAAGGAACTCAAAATAGCTAACTTCCTTTGCAGGCTAACAGTGTTTTATACAGGTTACAAAACTGACAGGCAGTTGTTTTGCTCTTACTTTATCAACACATGGAACTCTGTCAAACTTTTCAAATCTGATCCTCTGTTCAGAACTTTGTTCAGATCCAATCCTCTTCATGAAGTCCTATTCCAACTTGTATCTTCACTAACCACCCTGCTACCACCTTCCCTAAACTCTTAGATAGAACAATTGGTAATAAGACAGTTTGGTGCTATATTATACAGGGTTTAGTGTTGTTAGTTACTATCTCCTGTATCACATTAAAGAAATCCAAGCAAAGATGGTCTACTTATATTTCTAACGCTATTTCCTACACTTAAGAGCAAGACTGAACATGTAATTCATATAAAATTAGTGGGTAAGTTAAGGCACTAGTAGTAAAAATTAAAAGAGGAAGTTGGAAAATGGTCAACAACCAAATCTTGGACGGTAGAGAGGGGTCAAACTCACCTGAGAATTTGTTCCAGTTTCTCACTCGGTGCATTCCTGAGGCCTGTCAGCATCGTGTGAAGACGACTCAAGCTGTGTGTAGTTGTAGAAACTGGGGTCACACAAGGGCTGTTCTCCTTAATGTACCTCACACCACTGAGTGGTGTGGAGATTGTAAGTGCTTTAGACTAAAAGAGGAAATTTAAGTAGATTAAATTAAAAAAAGTGCTTAAGGTCAGAAAGACTTTAAATTACTTCAGAAGTAGAAATTCTATGTAAGAATGTATGAAAGGGCAATATGAATTTTGGCCAAATGAAAGTTTGTCTCTTAAAAGTTAAACTTTAAAATAAGGTATATCTCCCTATTACTGCTCCTTCAGAATTTAAGCTCAAAGCAAAGATAGTATTACACTTGAAAAAATTAAGAATGTCACTCTCACTTCTAAGAAACAGAATTTCACAGCTCCCATCCACCACTATTTTTGCAAATACTCAAAGATTAACAAATTAAAGCTGTGAATTGAATCAACCCAAATAAAACCTATAATTTAAGAAAAATTCATCTAAAGTATCAAATTTGCTGCAGATAGAAAACAAACATCTCCCAAAAGCCATCCTGATACAGTCTTCTTCAGTCTTCTTGCCCCTTCTCTATCTTTAGTTCCTAGAATCTATCATAGTTTATTTCCCCACAGTAGACAGGTCTTAGCAAAATAAGCATTCTTGAATATAAACATGAAAAAGATACGACTTAGGGTCAAGGAATTTAAGAATGAGTACATATGCTAATAACAAAACATCTTTTCTAATTTTTCAAACTCTGAAAGGCTAGGAATATGTAATACTATCTTTTTTTTTTTTTTTGGTGCCGGGGATCAAACTTGGGTCCTTGTGCTTGTGCAGCAGGTGGCGAAACCATTGAGCTAAATCCCCGGCCCCATGATACTATCTTTTAATATTCAAGAGAAGCCACACTACTCTAAGTGTTAAATGTTTAAAAACATCTAGGACAACAGCGGAGAAATTTATCACACAGAAATAAATATCTATACTTTCCACATTAAATCTATATGTTTTCTTCAGGTTTCAAACAGCAGTAAAGATATTCACTTTTTTTCAAGAGAATTCATCTAAAGCCAGGCATGGTGGCATACACCTGAGGATGGCAAGTTCAAGACTATCCTAGAATACAGAGCAAGAACCTGTCTCAAAAAACAAAAAAGGAGCCACTCCCAGTGCATAGGAGAAGGCTTCCAGGCGGCCATACCACCCCCACCCCCCGGACAGAGGAGGTGAGCCACTCCCAGTGCACAGGAGGAGGCTTCCAGGCCCACCATACCACCCTCCCACCCACAGCACAGAGCTGAGCTGCTCCCAGCGCACAAGAGGAGGCTTCTGGGCCACCATACCACCACCCCCACCCCCCCAGCACAGAGGAGGTGAGACACACAGGCGCCAGCAGCACATCCCCCCCTGAAATGAGAAGACATGTAAACAAGTTTCAAAACCAGACTTCCAGATCACCTAAAACAACCCCAAAGGGAAATGAGATGGAACACTGTGATACTCAACCACCTGGATTCCCTGAACTGACAAAAAAAGAGGATCTGGAAAAAATGAAATCATAAATAATTTCTCAGATAACAGCAGAGATTGTGCCCATAGTGCAAGACATGATTAATAAATCTAGAGAGGACACAGAAAAAAAAATAGAGGAGCTGAAGAACATGATGGAATCCCAACATAGGAAACAAATGGGATCTATAAAACACATGCAAACAGATTTCCAGGATATTAGAAACTCCACTGAAAGTCTATGCAGCAGAATGAACCAATGTGAGGACAGAATTTCATATACAGAAGATAATATTGCAATTAGTGACCAGGAAAAGAAAAATTTCTTTAAAATTGTAAGGGACCATGAGAAATCAATCCAGCACCTGCTAGATGATGCAAAGAAGAACATAAGACTGATAGGAGTCAATGAAGAAACAGGAGACAGTGTAGATGACAAAAAAACTGTTCACAGAAGTGATGGCAGAAAACTTCCCAAGCAGGGGAAAAGAACTTGACATACAGATAAGGGAGGTATATAGGACTCCAACCAGCCTTGATCAAAAAAATCTACACATAGGCATACAATAGTTAAGATTCTGGAAAACCAACAGAAGAACAAAATTCTACAAGCAGTGAGAAAAAAGAAACAAATCACATACAAAGGAAAGCCCATCAGAATCACAGCAGACTTCTCAACACAAACCCACAAGGCAAGAGT